GGGATGCTGGGGATATCAGCGCAGGCCTGCACCTGCAGGATGGGAGCACAGGAGGCACATCTCCAGCTCAAAGCCTTCTCCCTGGCACTTCTGCCCAGCCGGGTTTTGCAGCACGGGGTTGGGACTGCGTAGCTCAGGGGGTCTCTGTGCTGTCTTCTAGACTGCTGGGCTTCACTGCCAGCCATCCCCTGGCTGCCACCTGCTGCCCCTGCATCCCCAAACCCCCTTGACCCTGGAGGCTGAGGGCTTCCCTGGCTCTGGAGCAGCGAGCAGGGGGATGCCCCTGAGCCACCTCATGGGTTAAGTATGTGCCCAGGTGAGCTCAGCACCTTGTCGGGCTGCTGTGGCATGGGGAAGGGGCTGAGGCTGCCGGGGAGCCTGGCAGGGTGGCTGGGGCAGGATCTGCTCCCCGTGCTGCTGGAGGACAGCCCCGGCCAGAGTCCGTGGGGCTGGTGGCCCTCAGCGAAGGCTGGGCAGGAGCGACGTCAGAGCTGGCTCCCAACCCGGCACGGTGCCTGTGCGTGGCCGAGGGCAATGACAGCCGTGTGGGGCCCCTCAGGGGCACGCAGGAGGTCACCCAAAGGAAAAAGTGCTCCCTGGGGCCACTGGCCAGAACAGGTCATGTGCAGGTGGCTGTGTGGCACTGGCACCAGGCAAAGCCCTCCCTGGGGTGGGCAGGACAGAGCTGTGCCAGGATCTAACCCTGCCTCCCCCTCCCCAGCGTGAGTGCATCTCCGTCCATGTCGGCCAAGCCGGCGTCCAGATGGGCAACACCTGCTGGGAGCTGTACTGCTTGGAGCACGGCATCCAGCCCGACGGGCAGATGCCCAGCGACAAAACCATCGGTGGAGGGGACGACTCCTTCACCACCTTCTTCTGTGAGACCGGGGCTGGCAAGCACGTCCCACGGGCCATCTTTGTGGACCTGGAGCCCACCGTGATCGGTGAGTGCTGGAGTTTGCACAGCCTGAGGTGCACCCCTGGGTGCAAGCGGCCAGTGCTCGTGGTCTGCTGGCAGTATCCTGCCGTGGGATCAACCTGAGGGCCCTCCTTTCCCCAGGAGAAGCCACAAACTTGAGCACCAGCTTTTGTCCCTGAAGTGTCCTAGTGCTAGTTTCTGCTCCCACATGTGCACAGAGAGAAACCAGCCCAACCGGCACTGCAGCTCTCGCTGCACCGAGGGGTGGGAGAAGCTGAGCTCCTGCGCGGGGAGGTGGCGGCCACCTCCTCCTGCCAGAGAAACCTGATGCTGGTGGTGGCCCTGCTGACGTGTGGGTCCTTGGCCCTGTCCCCAACAGGCGGAGCTGGCAGGAGGGTGAGGGATGGGTGTTCTCACCCGTTCGGCTGCGTGGTGGCCGGCTAAAACCGACAGCCGTGCAGGGCTCACGTGGATGAGCCAGTGCATGGTCTCAGCCCTCCCCTGCTCTCTCCTAGATGAGGTTCGGGCTGGAATCTACCGACAGCTCTTCCATCCCGAGCAGCTGATCACCGGCAAGGAGGATGCTGCCAACAATTATGCCCGTGGACACTACACCATCGGCAAAGAGATCATCGACCAAGTGCTGGACAGGATCCGGAAGCTGGTAAGTGACCACACAGGGGGGACGTGTCCCCCTGTGCTGGGATCCAGCATCCTGCTGCGAGCCCTGCTGCACTCTGGGAGGGCTCTGCAGCTGCCCTTGGCAGGGACGGGCCAGGTCCTGGAGGACTTCTGAGCAGTCAGATGTTCACAGAGAAGTCCATTTCAGAGCAATCTCGTGCATCTCTCTGCAGGCTGACCAGTGCACAGGACTCCAGGGCTTCCTCGTGTTTCACAGCTTTGGAGGAGGAACTGGGTCTGGCTTCACCTCCCTGTTGATGGAACGACTCTCCGTTGACTACGGCAAGAAGTCCAAGCTGGAGTTCTCCATCTACCCCGCGCCACAGGTCTCCACTGCCGTGGTGGAGCCCTACAACTCCATCCTCACTACACACACCACCCTGGAGCACTCAGACTGCGCCTTTATGGTGGACAATGAGGCCATCTATGACATCTGCCGCAGGAACCTGGATATTGAGCGCCCGACCTACACCAACTTGAACAGACTCATCAGCCAGATAGTCTCATCCAT